TCGATTTACCCCAGTAAGAATGAACCACCTTCTAACCCAAAATAGTTTAGGCCTCTGCAGTTATATCCAGTCACTATTTAGGCTACCAGGTGAGTCCAGTGGATCCCCCACAGCTGTGGAAACAAACATCTGGAGACAGTTTCTGCTGACTTTTGTTCCTGCAGTCGAAACGCAGCTAACACGATTTATTTACCTTCACAAAGGGAACTCTGTTCTTATCTTCATGAACAGCCAGGTTGGTCTTTGACACTGAAACATAAAAGCATCATTATAGCAGTTAGCATTAGCTTGATTGTATTTACACTCTATTTCTACTCTACTATTCTATTCAACTCTATATGAGCATAGTAAAGGTTCAGGGTTGGTCTCACCATCCAGCAGGTCTCTGATTTTATCCAGATAGATTTCAAAATAAGACACCTGCAGATACACAGCCAGTGTTTATGTTACGTTAAACATGTTCAGTCTTCTAAAAAGAAAAACTGTGATTCAGAATAAAAACACTTTGGAGATTAAATGATGCTACACTGATCAAATGATGATATTTCTTTGAATTAAGATGAAGAATCATTTTTTACAGTTAGATTTTCCTAAGATCTGACAACAGTAACACAAAAACAACATAAAAATATTTGTTTCACAAGCAGAATCACCTTGATGTGGAACTCCAGGTTCTCATCCATGGAGTAGATGTGGTCGAAGATGTCTCTGGAAATACGAGGGATGATGCCCATCTGATGAGGGTCATGAAGGGTCCCCTGAAACATGACGAATCATTTAATTAATCATTCAAATAACACCAAAACAAAGACCTGAAAATAAACTACAAAACAACAGACCAACCTCCATTGTGTGAGTCTTTCCTGAGGAGGTCTGACCATAAGCAAAGATGGTGCCGTTATATCCTCCCAACACATCTGAGACACAAACAAAGAAACAAACGCCGTTTACAGCCGTCACTTCCTCTCAGTCGCTTTCCTTCTTTAATGGAATATGTTGTACTGACCTCTGACGATCTGCTTGGCGCAGGTGTCGTACACCTGAACCTGTTCAGTGGTTGGGGGGAAGACTTGGTCGAACACATATGGCTTCCCCTGAAACACAGGAAACACATTGTAAAAATAAAAGCCTCTGTTTGAAAAAAAAAAAAAGATTTATGCTGTCAGCAGACAGTCTCCTCCTGCTATGAAGAGGTCATAAAAAAAACACCCTGCTCACTGACACTGAGTGTTATGGTGTGATGTTTCAGTCTCTCAGTAACATCTTAACACATCGAAGCCAAGATTATTAATGTAAGTCAGTGAGGACTGTTAGATTTCTGTTTTAACAAACAAAACTAGGAGTATAAAGAGAGTTCTTCTTATGTATCTGCATTTATACAACATTCACACTCTGATGGAGGTCTCACAGAGCAGCTCGGGGTAAGTATGTCGCCAAAGGGTATTTGGCATGGCGACTGGAGCAGCCAGGGATCAAAACCACCAACCGTCCGCTGGTCGTTGAAGTCACAGTGAGCTTCCCTGATCACCTCCTGGTTGGACTCCTGCTGAGCTGTCCTGATTGGTCAGTCCCACATCTACAAACCCCTCCATGCTTTCCTCGTCAGCACCTGTCAGACCATCTCCAGCCCCACAGCAGACCTTCAGCTCTGCTGCCTCCTCTGTGTGAGTGCTCCCCTCTGAGATCTTCAACGTCCATCAGTTAATGTTCAGATCTTTGAACTTTGACCTTCTTTATGTAATGCGGCCTTGGCTTCCTTGAAAGCTGAACATAAATCGAATTATTATTTTTTTACAAAGTGTCTCCACTGTGATTTTAAATAAAGTTTGATAGAATTTATAGTTTAATGGGACTCCTGATGGTCACATGACTGTCTCAGTTTGTCCTTCAGAAAAACAAACAGACAATACCGAGACAATAACAGATGTTGGAGCTTTTTGTTCTTTATTTTTTATTATTTTTGAAATTTGTTGTTAAAGTTTGTTGTTAGTTTACTTATATTTTGGGGTTTATTTACAAGTTTGTTTGTAGGTTAATATTTAATATTTGTATCAGTGTTTTGTTTGTTTGATGTTACCTTGTTAAATGAGTCAGTAAGAGCTGTAGGGCCATTTTGTTTCTATAAATAAAGAGACTGGTATAGGACCAGCATGCACTGGGGTGGGCCTATGTTTTTTTTTTT